GACACACAGATTACACATGAGATTTCAAAGTCACAGATACATGATCGAAAACAGATCAACAAAGAAAAATACAGAAATACCGAAAAGAAAGAGGTTGAAAAAGTACCCAGGACAAGGTCGCATTGTGACCCAGAAAAATCCAACTACAGTGAAACTATGTGTGTAAAGTGAGAGCTGAAGATGACAATCGAGCCAACATGGAGGTAATAACAAATCATAAAAATATAAGGAATTGGATAAAGCATAATATGCCAGAGAAATCATTTAGAAAAATGCTGTATTAGGCCTAGCTAATTCTGAAGGAGGGGTAGGAAAAAATGGCAAAATCTGGTGGTGTAAAAAGGATATTAAGTCTTCATTGGCCCACACGTTTGGCTTCCTCAGCAGGATTAGTGGTTTACCCATATAATGGGTAATAGTTGAGAAACCCAACAACGAGTCTCCCCCAACTGCAACCTGTAGAGGTGCTAGAGGTATAACACCTGAAGTGGGAACATGAACCTTAGACTTCACTGTAGAAATATATAAATCAAACAAAAGTTTTTGATGTAAAATATACAGGTTTGATAAAGACTGAGAATTTAAATTAAAAAATTCTTCAATGTAAAGAAAAAATAATAATGAAGAAATCCACTTTGGCAATTAAACTATTAAAATCACAATCCACACAAAGAGTACTAAAAGAAAAAACTTTAAACACGAGTTCTACCAAACGAGAAGTGATAGTTTGGTAGAATTGAGTAGAGGGAGCCACATGCATCATGAGAGTATGTCACACTCTTATTGGTGTAGGGTTGAAGCATGATGATTTGTATGAGACACATTGGAATCAGTCAATTCCAATGGAGGGGAGATAGAAGGCTTATGGCATGTGTGAAAACATATTTTGGTACATAGAGAGCAGCACTGAACGAGAATAGCTATTTATGTGATTGGAGGTAATGTACCATGTCGGAATACAACTAAAGTGTAACTGATATTCTTTTATACTGTATGGACGTAGCTTCTGAACAGAAGCAAACCAACACAGCAATTTAATAATAAAACATACTTATGTGAAGACTCTTTGATAGTAGAAGTTACCAAGATATATATAAATAAACATAAATCTACACAGACAATGAGTAGAATTAAAAATTAAGTCAGATACAATTCAAATATATGTATTTCTACTTCTCACTTAATACATGTTACAATGTAGAACAGACTGAACAAATAAAACTTAAAATTATAATTATAATTGAATAGACAGTAACTTACATGATTTTTTCTACTGGAACTATCTTACCTTGGCACTAAAAAGTTTAGAACCACTAAATGACCATTTCCTGACACTATTCAAGTAGATTCGGACACAGTCAAACATACTTCTTCCAGTTTTGTTCCTCCACTTCTCTCTTATTTTTTCCTGGAAATCTCTGTTGAAAATGTTTTTTAACATGAAAATTATTTGTGGCATAAAATAACAGAATAACTTCTGCTATAAATTATGTTTAAATAGTTATTAATTAAACATGATTACATGTATGCAATGTCATTTTATACACAAAATAACTATGTTGGTGTATATTTTTATTTATTTAAAAACTAGCATTAAAGTATTAGTTGTAAACTTTCCATTTCTCGTTCTTAAGACTAAATTCTATCTTAATATATTCCCTATATTTAACATTATAGCAATGCTTTTATGAGAACCATAAAACAATAGACAATAGCTTTGACAGACTACTACTTCTATTAGGGCATGTGTTCACAGGGATAACTATTTAACAAGACTCATAATTCTATAGCTTAACACATTATAAAAACCTATGAGGTAAGAAATAAATGCTTTTTTCCAAACACCTATTCAAAAGATATCTTTCTCCAAATAATATCTTCAACTAAATATCAGTATATGTGATATGTTCTTTTTTGCAACTTGCCATGTATCCCACTTACTGAAGCTAAGAAAATAACAGCAGCACTGTGTGGAGTAACAGTTTATTTGTATCAGTCAGTTGAAAAGGAGAGAAAAAACAATGATCTTAGAGTTATTTATATCAAATCAATATCATGTTTATTACCAAAGTGCAAAAGCTTGAAACATGCTCTAAGATCATTTTCTAACTTAAATTTCAAAAGTATTGTTTCTTGATGATGAAACTGAATAATCATATGTCTTTAATTTATGTGTCAGTGTTGAATTATTTTAATATAACTATAACAAATTAAAAACATAAATAAATGTATTTACATAATTACATGCCAATTCATCTCTGAATAAAGACTTGCTTTACAAAAAACACTTGGATTAACGAGTTTATTTTGTGCTTCATTTAATTTTTTTATCGTGCAAGGTTTCTTAGTAGTATATATGCATATGTTTGTGTGTGTATGTGTATAACTTTTGATCTCCACAATTGTAGAAAGTTTTTAGAATTTTTGCTCTTTTAATTGAATTTAAGTATATGAAATGCTGTGATAAATCAAATTATTTCAAACAAAACAAGTTCTAACCATTAAAATTTTCAATAGGCTTGTTGATCTAAACATAGTTAATCATTGGGAAACAATGACTTAACCCTTGCAAATATTTAGGAATTTTTTTTATCTATTTCTTATAAAACATGTCTGAATTGATGTTTTATCTGAGGCTCTGCTTCGTTAAAAGTACTAGATGTAATGGATCAGAACTTCAGTGATTGATGGTACTCAAATGACAACATATGTACTGTTACATATCTGCTCATTTGTTAATTTCCGGTATAAATTCTTTCCAAGGAACTTC